AAATAATACTCGTGGCTGCATGGCACGCGTCCCAGGCAACACTGCCATTTCTCAGCCCGTGCTGGGCTTTCCCTCTGCTCCCCTGTTTTACTGACCCTCTGGTTCATTTCCACAGGAAAGCTGGCTGCCTGCTCACTCCGGGACAGCCAGCGCTTGCTGATGAGCAATCGGAGTTTGAATTCTCTCCAGGAGAGCCTTTGGTCTCCTCTCTGGACAAGTATTCCAATTACCAGACCATTACCTACGCGAAGGCAAATCATCTCCTCTTCCAGAGGTGAGTTTTGAGAGGAGGATGGCTGTGCCCATGGTGGTTCCTGCTGCGTTTGGCATTGGCTATTGGACCAAAGACCATCTACTTAACCAATGTACTTAACCTTAACCTTAGCCAACCTACTTAACCTTCTGTCCACATTAAACACACAGCAAATCAGAGCGGTACTTGCCACGAGAGCTTTGCAGAAGAGGCTGTTGTGACCTTGCGGCACCTCTGGGACATATTCGGGTTGAATATTACAGTCTAGAATATAAACTCCTAAGTTTGATGTGAGTTCCCTCTGAAAAGCTAAAGTGCTTTTGGGGCTAGCCTATATGTGGATTCTAAGATGCTCCATCTCAAAATAAGAACAATAACAGTTCTTTAGGAAAATGCTGTCTTTGTTCACTTCACTCGTTGCTATTGTTATTGTTGAGTCTTAAAATATAAATATAATAGTGAAAAAAATGTGGAACTTGAGGAGGAACAATGAAAAAGAAGCAAAAAAGAGAGAAATTGTAAAATAAAGTCCTTTGAGATTGTTGCTATTAATAGCTGTAATAAAAAAAAAAAAAAAAAAAGAACACTCCTCTATCTTGAGTTGTATTGCATGATTTAATCAGTATTTCCAAAGCAATATCAAATCCTCATGGATGACATTGCCAAAGCACATGCTGATTTCCTGAGCACGGGCTCTTTATAGGTCATTTTCCTATGCACCGTGATATGAAATTTTTATTTTCACCAGAAGTAACAACTAGAGAGTTCAACTAGATAGCTGCTCCGTTCTGATTTCTTTTCATCAATCCTATTCAAAATAATTTACCTTATAAGCTGCCAAGTGCAGGGCTGTAAATCCATTTCTTGTCAATCTGGATGGGCGCAGTCCTTTCAGCATGAGAGTTCTAATGTGTGATTTGTTACCTTGAGAAAGAAAATTGGAAAACAAAATCATCTACAGAAAAGAACATGCAGAAAAGTGAGAAACCCCTGGGTGAGTTTGAAAGCAAAGAGAGATAGGTAGCTCCTCTGCCAAGGCAAGTCATAAAACAGATCTCCTGGAACCCCAGGATGGAATTGGGCACCAGCCTCCTGCTTGCTGGGACGGCTGCGGATCCGGCCGTGCGCTGGCTGGCTGTTTGTTCACACTTGGTGAGGACTTGGTGAGGACTGTTGGAGTTCCAAAGAAGCAAACCCCTCTTTTAACATCCTGACCGTGCTGCAAAGAACTCCGTAACCTGCCAGGTGCTCCCAGGATCTCTGGTTTCTCGGGCACTGAACCCTTTGTCCTTCCAGAAGGGAAGCACCGCTGTCCCTCCACACAACGTTATCCCGGGGACAGCAGCTTTGGGGATGCTAGTGGACGCCAGCATGGGCAGGTAGCTTTACTCGTACCGCTCTGGTGCACAGTGATGATCTCAGAAAAGGTGTCTGCCTTCTGAACAAGGACAAGACCAGATTGAACAGCTGCTCTCCCTCCTTCAAGCGTGCGCACACCCTACCTGGTTAACGAACACGGTGTGCTTTCCTGACCTTCCTCTCCGCAACCCCACCAGGTGCTGGTGTTCTCCTTGGGTACAACCCTGTGCTCTCTGAAATCAAGAGTGACGATCCCCTGGCTTTTCAGCTGTGCAGGATCAGCTCCTCCTTTACGTCCAGGACTGAGCAAATCCTTTATGCACGTTAAGTACTATGCAGAGCGGAAACTTTAAATTTCTCTTCCCCTCTCTCAGCCAATTTCTGCCGAAAACTGTGTAACAAGTGCAATGCATGTGCATGAACTGAGGACTCACTGTGGGGATAACCGAGCAGCAGTGTGGATCAGAGTGGAAAATTCCGCAATTAGTGTGTTTTTATGAACATCCCAGAAGGCATCTTGCACTCTTTTCTGGCGTACTCTGATCTGTTATCCGCAGGAATTCTTTCAGCTGGTATTTTTCACTGAAGCATTTGAGTTATTCTTCTTTTAATCACCAGGAAATAAAAGAGGGATATTTTCATTATACTAGAAAAGCAGCTGTTGTACATACGACACAGGATTGCTAAACGAGCTCCCTAGCCTGACACCTGTACTGTGTGCAGAATAGAGACATAGAGCAACCTGTATGGTGAGTATGGACTGACTAAGCTAATGCATAGAGCAAATAGATTGGAATTAGTTGCACATCTGTAGTAAAAAAATGCTCCATTATCAACCCAAACTTTTCCTGGGCTGATGAATCAGCTATAACGGCGTTCAGGGTCACTTGGTTCAAGCCCCTTGGCAAGAGGGTCCAGAGCAATGCTCAGAGACGCTTGTCCAGCTGCCAACAGGGACAACACAGAAAGAATTCACCAAAAGGACCATCTTCCTGGCAGTTATTAGGCAGAACAAACCAGTGGCCATGTAAATAAAACGTTTAGAGAACATCCTATTTCCAATACATACCCCCGCAAACGCAGCACAAATGCAGAAGAGAGAGCCCATTTTCCGTGCGGTAATTTAAATTGACTTTGCAGAAGGCTTCATCAGAGCTGAAAAGAGAGATTGTACAGATGATTACTGTTTTCATTCTTTAGCACAGTTTCTTTCATTTGGAAAAAAAATGTAAAAGAGAAATATCTTTTTTTTTTTTTTGAGACACAGGGCTAAGTTGATACCATTTACACTCTGTAAATCTAGAGATACTTCTCTGATATCAAGTGAGCAGTACAGATTTACTGTTTTCTGAACAGTCCTGCTATTCAGTCACAGTATATACCTTCTAAAATCAGGTAAATGAGAGGAAAAAAAAAGAGGAAAGACTTTTTAGACATATAAATAATCCAAACAAAATCAGTTTCTTCATTGATGCAACAATAACTAAGAAATAACTTAAAAATCTCTTTGTTCTAAAATGACAAGCAGGACATGCACAGAACTGGGGGCAGACAAGCCAAGTCAAGAGCATCACCAGAAAAAGCCTTTCGGAAAGCAAGCTTGTGTTCCCCAGAGGAGGTCACAGAAACACTATCCACCCGACACACGGAAACATTTATATGAGAACACCGTGGAAGCACAGCCGTGGAAGGAGGGTAACCAAAGCTCAGGCAAACATCTGGCAATGATTAAAGGAAAAATGTTCCTAAAGCTCTTTGAGGAATGAAGCAGTCTTTCCAGAAGTTACCTTTCTGGCCGTTCTAATGGCACACTAATTCCTGAGAGACCTGTGAGTGCCTGAGATCCGCGAGGACGGGGCAGGAGGGGCTGGACAAAGCCGTGCGAGGACGGGCCTCCCCCCTGCCTCCAATCACCCCCCGCCGACAGCTCCTCCGGGGCATCGGGAGGAGCAGGGACCTCGTAATGCTCAGCAGCTGGTGCGGTCTCAGAGCTCTGGTTTTCTGCTTTGGTTTATTGCACTGGAGTAGGATGCTTTAAAGTGGAATTTTAAATTGAGTTCTAGATCTTCACTTTGGCTTCCCACCAACTGCAGTCAGAGCATAAACTCTTGCTCTGTTACAGTTTGTACTCACACTCCATGTTGGCACTTAGAGCTCTCAGACAACCAAATGTCACATATGGAGAAGCTCAATTTAATGTTTAATTTCCTTCCACATTTTTGGTCCAGTATTCGTTACACCCTGACATAGCTTCATGAGTTCATGGAGCTTTCTGGGCCACACAAGGATGAAATGAGTAATTGAAATGGAGCAATTGTTATTAACACATTTTAAATATAATAACTCTTCAACAGGATCCATACCGAGCCTGCCTCATTAAAAAAGAGATTCAGAATTTGTATTTGATGCTCTGCCCTTTTTCAGGCCCCCCATACACACAATTAGGCGATTTTATAATTCATTGGTTTCCACTCTCCTTTCCCTGTCGTACAACACCTGCCAAAGCTCAGAAATAAAGTGCTTCATAACATAAAGCTCAAAAAGCTGGCCGGGAAGAGAATGGGCAGGAAGCTAAGGATGCTTCTAGTTCCACAAAGAAACAGGACCAGTGCCTTTGCACAGGACGGTGGGTGCTGTGGCTGGACACCTGCATCCCGCACAGTCAATGCCCGTTATCTCATGAGATGGTGGCAACGCCTCCGCGGCCAGACCTACACCCGCCTCCCTCAGAGGTCCCGTCTAACGTGCGTTACGGCTTCACTTGGGAAACTCCTGAACGCCCAAAGTGCCACGGTCGTGTTTGAAACAGTGAGGAGAGGCTCAGAGGAGCGTGAAGGCAAATGATCGCTCCGGTTTGCTTACAGACTGTTAAACGATTACCACACTCCAACGTTTCAGCTTTTGTCGTGGAGTCTCGTGAGTTTCCTTCAGCACAGATGGACTTGTTACTGCTCCGTCAAACGCTCTGAGTAATTACATTTGTTGAAAATTAAATACACATAGCAATTAATATTTGAGTGGAGAACGCTGATTTCAGTGTGTCAACAGAAGTTTGGGGCTTTTCCATTCGGTATCAGTGCAATAGTGACCATGGGCTAGGAGAACACCTACACGGGTGTGTCTGTACATCCATCCTGAGTGAGCAGCACTGAGGCGTATTTAACAGGGCTACAATTAACCATCTTAACGAGATTCCACGGGGCAGCAAGATGGGCTGACAGGCTGAACTGCCAAGGGTCTGCTCACTAAAGCTGATTGTTTATCTTTCTTATGCTAAGGTAGGAACTCAGCACTTCCACCATGGACTCTGTTGTCCTGCTGACCTGAAACAAAGAGTACTCCAGCTCCAGCCTGTTCAGGTAATTAGTTTCACTACTGAACAGGCTCTAAATGATGCGGGTACCCAAGCTCCTCAGTGGGCCATGGCCACAGTGGCCAGCACGTTGTGGTGGAACCCCAACGTCGCCTGTCACCCAACAGGCTCAAACAGGGACAACTACGCCAGCTGACAGTCACCGTGACGGACAATTTATATGACTAGTTTGGCTTTTTTGAGCTTGTTCCTGATTACAATCCCCCATTTTTTTCAAGTGGTTTTGATACCTGAGGTTATTTACCTGATAATTCTCAGCCAATGAGCTGCGGGTTTTCTCTGGGCGAGCTTTTCAGATGACATATAACACGTTACCTGGTTGGGTGCGCTTGGCTGTTAGCATGTGCTGCCCTGAGAAAGTGATCACAATCATGAATTTGTGATCCACTTTCAGCAGAAAATCTGCTTTTGTACTTGTTTAAAATCTGGTGCTTCAGCAATATTCCTGTCTGAAGCGACACATTAACAAAACTGAAATGTACACAAAAAACCAGACATCCCATTAAGGCTAATTAATTTACAAAAGTATATAGGTGTTTGTTATAAAATATTGGCATTAGTAATTAACAGCCACTAATTCTGGTACCATGCCGGGGACTCTGGCCCAGAACTGTAATGACGTATTCCCAAAAATAGACATTAAGGAGCATGCATTCCATACGTGAGAACCTCCTGCCACAAGAAAACACCTGAAACTGAAAATACTGTTTAACAGCAAACAGTCATTTGAAATAAATTAATAAACAGCTTTTCAGGCTATTTTACCTAAAAACATGCTGCAGTTCTGCCAGCTCCTTTTCTTTGATTTTCAGGTCATCTTCTAATCGTTCTATGATTATAGCGTACGATTCACTAACTTTCTTCTTCCATTCATCTAACAACAAAAAAACCCTGATTCATAAACCACTTCAAAACACAGGAACTCAAATCACAGTGTCCCAGTCACCAGAGCATTTGGTTCTTACACATCCAGTTGTATACTGTTTCATGTATTTTTTTATATTAAAGTTTAAAATATTACAGCTATTAAACCATTCTTGCTGCAACCAATATAAACATATATCTACTGATGTCACAGACAACTAACACATAGGAATCCTTGTGAGAAATATTTTTAACATGAACAAGAGAAAACTTAACCCTTAGGTTGCATTTGTTAGCTCTTAGTTCCTAAATCTTAGCATAGACACTCAGCACAAAAACGTTGGAAGTTTAAAGGTTTTTCTAATGAAGTACAAGTTAAATCAACACAACAATCTAAGTTAATAACGATCTTATACAATTGCACAAAGAAATTCAGCATACTAGCTTTTTGTCTTCTGTTACAGACTGTACACGCGATCGGGGCTAAGCCACTCTTCCAGGAACAATACCATACCCTCCCCGGCACTCCAGAGTACATTAGCAATGAATTATTTCCTAAAATATCATTTGCACCTTGTAGATGGATGTATGATACATTGCATTGAGAAAAGGAACGTTAATTACCGGTGCAAGTCTGGGTTGGTCTAGATTTATAATTTCCCATTTCAATGTATCCTCTTTGTTTCAGCAAAGTTCTTGCAGTAATACGATTCCTTGTTCAAGAGCAGGACAGTCCCACTGAAAAATACCTTTGATAGTCTCTGGCTAAAAATAAACCCTGTGCCAAATGGAATGTCATGCAACAATGACAGGGAGCAAAACAGTCTGCTGGCAACGGTAACAAATAACAAAGGTACCTAATCAGCTTGCTTAAAATCTGCTGTCTGTTTCCGCAGAAACACTGGCTTTCGTCTGTCCAATACCTACCACTGGTGGGAAGCGGGTAATTTGGCAGCTTGCTACCAATTTTATAGAGAAAAAGGAATTTAAGGAGCTGGATCCCAAGCGCACTCCTGGGGTTCAGAGAGGCCAGAGCTGATCCCAACTCACAACATTGAAACATCTCCTGACATGGGGGACGGCTTGGGAGCATCTGGGTATTTTAGCCACGAAGGGCAAATTGTCTCGCATCAGGGAGTACCGACCTTTTGCAGTTTGGTAACATTTGCACGTGTGGCTATGTGCAGGAAGCCTCACTGAACTAGCCCAGGAAGCGAGCTGGCTGTCAGGAGCGAGCACAAACTGCATCGCCCCAGTCGTCTGCTTAGCTCAGCCCTCGTCTGCCTTCTTCATCTCCCTTCCCCTGTGTTTTCTGTCCAATGGAACTGCTCTGCACGTATTTCCCCAGACAATTAGGGGATTCATGCTGGTTTCTGTATGTGTCTATTTTCCTCCTTTTATTGCTTAATTTATTTGATGAACATATTCTTACATGTGTATAAATTTATACACATACACATTTATATGCTTACAGTTCTATATTTTAATGTGTATATGTATATATTCAAAGTGTCTTCATTGATCTCAGCAGCTGTACCAGTTCTCAGTGTTCTCAGTTAAGGATTTCAGGCAAGAAGATATGTAAATACAACACACGAATATAAAACCTTCAACATGCCGCACCCCGTTGCAAACAAACCCGTGCTCCTGTGACAGCTCCTGACACAGCACCAGCTCACCCAGTTGTTTGCACTGATTTACTCACAAACCCACGGAGGTATTCCAGAAGACTTTGAACTGCTTTGACAATACGCCCTGTGATATTCCACCAAATATTTGCAAAAAGGCACCAGCCTCCGAACTGATCCGCAGCATCGGTTGCCAGGCAACGGGAGGAGCTGGAAACCAGCATCTCCTCTCCCACTGCTCGGACGAGCTGAGTGCTGCTTGTTTTCCTCCAGATGTCTAAACCGCAGCCGCCGCTGTGCAGCCGGAGACAAGCATTGTGGCAACCTCTCTCACCCACCGGAGCATCCCGGAGTGCAAAGGGCTGCCGGGACACCTTCGCTCCGTCACACATCTCCGCAGCCCGGCGATGGCAGGAACTCCGCAATGGATGCATTTCGCCTTTTCACAGCAGCGGAGCTTTCTGAATGTTTGCTGACTCACTGATGCAGGAGAGCGTGAATCCTATCAGGATTTTACCTGTGATTGCCCAAGACGACAGACCTGCTGTTTGCTTCGCAGCCCGTGCTTTAGGAGCTGCTCCGAAGGCAGAGTCTGAGGCTGCAGCAGTCGGGGGTCCCCACTCTGACACGGGGTGTCCCAGTGGCCGTCACACCTGCCATGGCTCGTGCGAGGGTTTTATTGAGATAAATGCTTGGTTTTTCACTTTTCCACTATTGTGTTGCATAATCTGGGTGAAGGCACTTCGGTTTTCACTGGAGTGATAACAGAACCAGTAATAATATTGTCTTTTTTTGTAAAAGTCTTGAGATTTATGAAGGAAACACAGCCAAGGCCATAAAAACGTAACCCTCTCCCCTCCGAGCCCCTGCACA